GGTGTGGCAATGTCATCATTTACAGGATGCATTTATTTGCACTTGAAAACTTTTTTGATAGAAAATAAATTTTCATAATAATATGCTGTGTGTGTGTGTGTGTGTGTGTTTGTTTGTTTGTTTGTTCAAATGGTGATTCAAATGATTTCTGTTTGAATAGATTTATTCAAATGTTTAATTTACTCTATAATACCATTACTACCAAGATTGTAATCCAAATATAACAAGATGAAATTGACTTTGAAATTAAAAAAAAATTCCAATTGATTCTTATCATTGGCTTTTTCTAGTGAACAATTCCATCCATCGTATCTATGTCGGTCTTTTTTTCTGCTCAAAGTTCTTTATCCGATGATGATGATGATGAAAATGTTCCACAAAAAAACACTTAATAATTTATCAAAGGAAAAGAATGATTGATTTTCTTTTCTTTTTTTTCGTTGTTGTTGCTGAATGATTTTGGTACACCGATACTGATGATGATTAGAATTCAGAGAATTTTGAATTCAAATCGGATTCATACAATTATCGATTTCATTTCATCTTGTTGTTGTTGTTGTTGTTATCTAGGATTATCTTCATTATTCTCTTCATTCATTCATTTATTCATTTTTTGCACAAATTTTTTTTCCATTATTTTCAGCTTATCTAAGATTATTATTGGGGTGTATATTTCGTTTCGTAAAAGATATATTCAATAATAAAATGATTGCTTAATTAGTTTCGAGAATTACTTGTTCGTTATCTCTCTAAATATATACTATCGATCATTAACAATTGATGATATAAAAAATCCCATTTCCGGTTTCTATATTTGTTGCAGAATATTTTTTTCGAGGATTAGGCAAACATCGCGATCGATTGTTTCGTTGTTTGCCTTGGCGCCACAAACGCACATATATCATATACGAAATAATAAAGGAATATTTATATTTATATTTTTCATCATGATTGACTGATTGATCGATGATCATGATGATCATCATCATGTAATGATGATATGTGGATAAGCTGTAAACACAAAAGATTTCATCACTCGTCATTTTCAATGTATTTTTATTCTTTGTTGTTGTTGTTGCTATTCATACACAATTTCTATTGAATTTTTCTTATGAATTGATGGTTACGTCGTGTCGAATTATTTATTTATTTATTCTCACAACATTTCTATACCTCTAATGATAATTATCATAATTCTAGATTAATGTTTTGTTCATTATAACATTTCTCTTTTCATAGTTCAATGTATCCATGTTTCATTCGTTTCTCTCGTTCTCTCTATCCTTCTCAGCATAATAATGAATTCCAAAGAAATTTTTCTCTTCTTTTTTCATGGAATTCTTTATGTGTATGAATATTGGATGATAATAATCAACACACGCACACACACCAACTGATCCTGACCATTTATATATTTTTAGATGCAGAAAAAAAACGGAAACGTAAATATAAAAATAAATAAATTTCAAAATTTTATCCAGTTTTTTTGTTTTGTTTTCATCGTTGTATATAGATATGTTTGTTTTTCAATGTCCGTGTTTTTGTGTTTATGTTTATCTTTCTTTTTATATGTAAATGTTGAAATAGGTATTGGAATTTAATTTTTTGAATTTCCGATATGATCGAAAAAAAAGTGGAAGAAAAAAAATGTTTACTTTTTTTCAACCCCGATATGAGAAATATTCAAAATAGAATGTCAATAACAAAAATAAAAAAATTTTGCAGTTGAAAAATTATAGAAAAAAAATTTCAAGTTTGACGTTGACAGTATTGATGATATGGTGTTGGTTAGTTAGTAGGACGAACGGACAAAAATGCTTGAAGCCAATTTTCATTTTTTCAAAAACATAACATCATCATTAGATTGATTTGATCATCATTTTTTTCTCATTTTCACTGGTCAATTATTGAGAAATAATTTATTCAGTTTTTTTTGATGGTTTTAGCCATCGAATGATTAATCGTTTTATGTTTTCTTCGCAATGTTGTCATCAAAAACTAATAGTTTCCGTTTAGTTTTTTTTTTCTGGTTAAAGAGTTTGTTCTTTTTTCTGTCATTTGTTTTGTTTACTTTGTCTATTTTTTTTGGTCATCGTTGTTATTTTTTATTTCAACATCATCATCATCATCATCATGAATAAATGAATGAATGAACCAAACGCAACTCTATGTTGATATAAAAAATGAGTCTTGTTCATTTACTATAGTAATTCGAGAGCAAAACACACACACACACACAGAGTGAAACAATGAAAGAAACAATAACAAACAAACAAAAGAATTGAATTGAATTTTGAATGAAGAGAAGAGAAAATTAAAACAATGTGATGATTAATCATTCATCAATCATTTCGGGTAAGTGTGTGTGTTTATGTGTGGCCACAATCAATAACAATAACAAAAACGACAGAATCAAGAATCAATAGCGCAAAAACTACTATATATACATAATGATAGTAGTCATAGTCATATATAAATGAACCATACATCGAATGTTAATATATTGAAAATGTGAATGAAAAAAAAACTGAATGTGAAATGTAATTGAATTGAGCTAACAATTCTTTAAATCCAAACGGTTGACATGTTGAAATATCATATTTTTTTCATATATTTTTCAATAAAATTTTTTTCTTCAAATTTATTTTAATTTTCTGACTTGCTTTCAGAATCTGTTTGTTGTTGAAGGATTTATTCATTTTATTTTGCATGAAATTCAAGAAAAAAAAACAATATGAATCACGCACACGTAAAATGCTGACAGTTTTTTTTTTCGTTTCGGATGAGTTTTTTTTTTGTTGCTTGCTTCATGTTGATTCACTCACTGACTATAAAAGTGTTGTTGTTTCATCATTGTTTCTACAGCCGCAAAAAAATCTTTACTTTTTAATAGTAAAATGAATTCTTCCTGTTTTTAAAAAACCGCTATGAATAATTTTTCTTTTGATATTTTCCATCATCATCATCATCATCATCATCATCATTCATGTATTTCATAATTCTTGAAAAAAGATAAAATATTCTAACCCATTTTTTTCTCTCTCTTTTTTGGTTCTATACCCATTTCATACATTACATTTTATCGTGAATTTTACTTTTTACAGCCAACAAAAAAAAATTATGCAAACAAATCAAGGTCTCGTTAATAATAAACTACAAGTTTATCTCTCTCTCTCTCTCTCTCTGTTTGTGTGTTCATCATTAGAGTTACGGTTTTTGACATGCAATGTGGATAATAATTTATAATTTTTATTTTTTTCAACTTTTATTCTTGTTTTTCGTGGTGATCAGGGGTAAAAGGATAAAATTTCTGAACATCTCTCTCTCTCTCTCTTTGTGAGTGTTGTTGGTATTTTTTTCATTCATTATGTTTCAAAACACACACACACCCATCCACACACCCAACGCGCTCATTAGAGTGGATATATGGAGAAAAGAAAAGAAAAAAAAAGTTTTGTCGTTTTTTTCGCTTGGTTAGCTGTTTGTTTTTTTTTCTGTCTTCTGGATATTATGTCCATTCACAGACACACACACGATTGTTTTTGTTGTTTTTTGTTGTCGACAAAAAAATTCTGTTGCGAGATCAATGAAAATAATGTCGATGTTGTGTGTGTGCAACATGATATTCAGGTCAAATACATCACCACTGTTCTCATGGGTGATTTTTTCTTCTCTAGATTTTCAATGACAAATAGCAAAGAATTTTTTTTTCTGTTTGTTGATGTGCATTTTGAGATCAATCTCCATCTATCCATCTATTGCATCTCGTGTCAATATATAATTAAATTATCTCTCTCACTCTCTCGTTTTTTTGATGGAATTGAAAATCGAATTTATTTGGTTTTTTTCATTCGATTTCGACTATTTCTTGATTAACATCGTATTCGTTTCGTTATTTTTTTCTAGTTTATTCAATAATTAAGATGTTTGCTTTTTTTAGATGATGATTCTAAGAATAAGAATGAAAAAAATGATCAAATGACCTATGGGCATGAATTTTTCATTATAAAGTTTAAAAATGAAAAATTTAGTAATGGAATTGTGTGTTTGTGTTTGATGTGAACAATTTTTTTTGTCGTTTCGTTTGATTACTTGAAATTTGTTTTGAACGAAAAATTTTTTTTTTTCTATTTCGAATTTTTTCTCACATTCTTGCCCTTATTCGTTTTTTGAGATTTGAATAAAGTTATTCTGCTTGCTTACTGTTATTCATTTCTTATCAAGATTGTTTATTTTTTTTCGCTTCTTTTCCAATTAATTTCATTAAATTCAGAAAATTTTCCAATTTTTTCCACTTTAAAAAACGAGTGAAATGAGATTTTTTTATTTTTCCGGCCGGTTTCCAGCCACACATATAACACCAATTATATAAAATTGTTGTTGAACAACAACAACAACAACAACAGCAGTAGTAAAAAAAACATCCGAGAAACTCAAATAACTCAAAATGAAATGAAATTTAATATCAAGAAAATATTTTGAGCATTTGCTTCGTTTGTGTTTGATGTCTACTGTTGCAATGATGGTTAAATGATGAAAAATGATAATAAATTAGAATCATTTTTTCCTTCTCTATTTCCGTAGAATAGAATTTGTTTTTCTCTCTTGTTCGCTGTGTATGGAAAAACATTTTTTGTTTGTTTGTTTGTTTGGTTACAAATCGATTTTTTATGCTTATAACTAATAAGAAAATGAAAATGATTATCTTATTATTTTATATCATCATCATCATCATCACATACACCAATACGCATAAAGCTTGTAGAATTAGTATTTTTCTTGCATTCCGTGTTTCATTCTTTTCATGCATGAGAAATGATTATGATGATGATGTTGTTGATAATGATGTTGTTTACGGGAAAATACAAATGGCCTTAAATATAACTAATGATGAATAGTAGTAACCCAACAAGAAAATATTGATGTAATAATATTGATTATTATTATTATTATTGTGTATTGAATATTGAATTTTGGAAATTGTTTGTCTGCAGACTCACGCTCACCATAGCCAAACGTCTACGACGAGCTGAATCCTGTTCCATACGACGTTGGCTATTAGCTTTTTGGGCAATACGACCTTGTTTTGCAACGACTAGTCCAATTTTTATATATAAAACACAGATGAGTCCCAATGGTATTCTATAATGATGTAAAAAACGAGAGAGAAAAAGAAGAAAGAGAAAAAAAATTATTATAGAAAATAAATTTGTTGAAAAAAAAAAAAAGTGCAATCAGTATTTTGTTGAAAATTATAAACAGAAAAATTTTGCGAGTGATGAGTGAGTGTTTGTTTGGATTGGATTAGAATTTCAAATTATTTTTGTCGATAGAAGAAAAACTACCAGTCTTTTTATTTATATTTCTGTCTGTGTGTACAATGTAAATATGAATTTCGATTTTATTTCGAAAAATTGAAAATGACTTGCAATAAGATTGAATCAGATTTCAATCATCATTGTCATGATTGTTGTTGTTTTGTCAGAGAATTTTTTTTTAAGTTTCTCAATTTCTCCCGAATCAATCATTTGTTGTTGTCCGAAATCCAAAGCGCTATTGGTTTGGCATTTGGCATTCACCCGATAAAAAAAATCAAACAATAGTGGTAATGATGATGATGTTAGTCATCATTAAATTTTAACAATTTTTTTCTTTCTTTGTAAAATGGAAAAAATTTTTTTTTTCTTTTGCTTTTTAATGATGTTTGGTGATGATAATGATGACAATTATTAATTCTTTGCACACATCTATTTTATTATATAAATGTCATTTCTGTATTCTATCCGATAATAGTGAATGATACGATTAAGAATGATCGCTGAAATAACTTGAGGCTAAAGAATAAAATGGATATGGATTCGATACAAAATTCTTTAGTCGGAATAATAGAAGAAAAAAAATCCTGGTTATAAGATAAAGGCCATATCATTGGAACTTGGATAGGAAACGAATTTCACGTTTCCAAGTTTCATATCTGCATAATAATGTTGCTGTCCTTTCATCTGTCGATCGATCGATCGATCGATCAAGACCTTTAGGGGTTTCACGATTCAAGGTTTTTTTTTACTTTTTCTATTTTCTATCCTTCAATGGAAAAAATGTGTCTCAATATTAGCCGAACCAAATAGAAAAAATCGAATATTCAATTTGATTTGTCTACATCCATCATATAATCACATAGGATGATGATAGCCATTTTTCGTTGTTGTTGTTGATTTATATATATTTTACATAAAAATAAATATTTGTAATTCCGCTATTTGGTTAAACGACGACGACGACGAAAATAAATCAGATATATAGAATCATTTTTTTTCTGTGTAATAACGTTATTATTGATAGTCGGTGGTCGTCGTTTAAGGAAATTATTGAATATCTAAATCGAAATTCCAAATAAATGAATGAAAAAAGTTTGCTATCTCGCATATGATGATTATCCTTATTGACCTTATTGATTCTTCACGAATATTTTATTTTATTTTTTTTTGCATAAGATTTTTACTGGCTATTAGAAAAGATTGCCCGAATTCTGAATCGAAAAACAGACACACACGATCGAAGATTTTTTCCATTTGCACACACGAAATTACAATATATTGATTTTTTTTCTCCTTGTTTCTTTGTTTGTTAAATAATATATGTTTCAGAATTCTGAAACTTTTTTTTATATATTCCCAAATGTGTGATGTAAGTGTGTGTAAAGAGCCAATGAGCATCTTCATTATTCTGTTGATGACGATGATGATGATAATGATGGTTTTTGTGGTTTTTTTTTCGTTGAAGAATTTTTCAATTACAATTAAAACCACAACCACCACCGCCACCACCACACCACATAAACTGATTTTGTTTCTATTAATTTCTTTCTTGAGACAAAAATCATTAAAAAACACGCAAACTATGAATCGAATTCTCTATTTATGTATGTGTGTGTGTGTGTGTGTGTAAATAAAGTTTATTCATTCAATCAGCCAATCAAACACGCAAACAGAATCTTGGTATTGAAGAAAACAGAATATGTGATTCGATTTTTTTATTCGTTCCTTCTTTTTTTCACTTATTTGATCGGATGAATCAATCTTTATGTTTTTTTCCATCGTCATCGTCGTCATCATCATCATATTAGGTTTTGAAGGAAAATTGAATTCCCTCTCTCATTGGTTCGTTCGTTTATTGTTTGTTTTTTGCATCATATAAGATTTCGGTTTCTTTATTCGCAGAAAAAACTATTCTCATTTTTTTCTTGGTCTAGCTAAGACGACGTGATAATAATGGAACGATTGATCGGTCGATTTTCGACTAAAAATTCACTCATTCACTTTTACACACTAGGGTTATATTTTCTTTTCTTTCTGGCAGCTTGAAAGTTCAGGAAATCAATATTTTCATTCATTATTTCGTGGGTGTTTTTTGTCACTTTCTTGCTTCATTCATTCATCAGAACACATCGTCATCGTCATGCCTTTATTTTTTGTCATTTGTTTTTGGTTTTTTTTTTGGTCTTACTCATTCTCTTTTTCTTGGTTGTTGTTGTTGTTGTTGTTGAAAGCAAAAAAAAAACTTGTTTGTTCATTATTCTATTGATATATCGGTATCAGCAACGATGTTGTCGTTGTTGACATTCTCTTTTCATTCACCATGATTTCACAGATTCATTTTTTTTCGTTTTGTTTGTTTCATTAATATATTTATGCTACAAAGTTCTATCATAGTTGTAGAATATTCCAAGTTTATTCATTTTTTTCTTTTGATCATCAACAATATTTGCATGTTACACATACACACAAATGTAATGATATTTATTTATATGAATGATTTTTTTTTTTTGGTTTTGTTTCCTTCATCCTCGTCATCAATTAATGTTTGAAAATGATATGCAAGCAGACACATATTTGTATATTTGTGTAGAATGAATGAATGAATGACTGGTTTTGACACTGCTGCTGCTTGTGTAGTCATCATCAAATCAATGTAAGAAACATTCGATGGTTTGTGCGTATGTGTGTGTTGCAAAGGAATATGAGAGATCCATTTTTTTTTTCATTGCTTGAATCTTATTGAATCGTTTTTCCTGTTTTAAGCCATCAATTGTGAATTGAAAATCTTGTTTTTCAATTTCCTTTTTTTTCTACTTGGATCTTTAATCATAAATAATCTTTTTGGTTGTTGTTTTTTTTTTTATTGGCTTGATATCGATTGTCATTGGATGTGTGAGTGTGTGTTTTTACGATAATGAGAAACGAAAAAATTTGTTACAAATTTTTCACCTGGGATTTTTTCAAATTTTTTTTCATCATGATTTGTATCTCTTTTGTGTGTGTGTTATTATTACACATCCGAGAGTTGGTGAAAGAATAATTGAAATTTTTTTTTGTTCGAGTTTACTGGATTTATTTCAATGATTATTCTATCACTTGATTCCATTCAGGTGTCTTTGTGTGTGTGTGTGTGTGCATTCTATTGGAATAAAAACGAATCAACAGCAAAAAAAGTGTAAAATTAAATATTGTTTTCGAAGAAGAAAAATCATAAGTGGTGGTAGAGTGGAATTTGATTCCATATTTGAAACATGAAAAAATGGATCAGAACAAGAAAAAGAAATAAAAGAGAACTTTGAACCAAACGAGAAAAAAAACGCTGAAACCACAATCCTTATGATTATGATTGGCGTGTGTCTGTCTGTTTGTGTGTGTGTATGTGTGTGTGTTTGATATGAATGAATGACTGAAAATGTCACACGCACATATTCTCAAACCATCATCATCATCATCGTGGTTATTATTAAATGATTATGTTGATCACATTACATAATACGATCACATAAAAAAGTTTTTTTTTCTTTTTGGGGAGTTTAATATTGGGAATGACATGTTTTTTGAGAACAAAATTGACAAAACGAATTATGGGTTAAATCATCATCATCATCATCATTATTCGATTGTCATCGAGTTGAAATATTTTTTCGAGTTGTAAAGTGGTAGCAGTAGTAGCTGGTTATATGGTTGTAACCTGAGCTTTCTCTCTCTCTCTCTCTCTCTCTCTCACCCTGTTTCTCTTGGTTGAACCTTGTTATTATTATTATTAATGACATGTGTGCCTCTTACAAATATCAAAAAAAAAATTTCATGTCTTTCAAAAGAAAAAAAAATGGAGATCTTTATTTCTTTCGATTAATTCAGCCAGCCAGCCAACCAACAGATACATGAAATCGATATTCGATTGTTTTTTGTGTTCACTTGAACAATACATACATGTACAACATGATTTTTTTGTTTTCGGCAATTTTTTCTGGGCGGAATTTTTTTTGTTGTTGTTGTTATTGTTGCTGTTTCATTCAAAAAGTTTCCTTATCTTTTCATATATCATTCTCTCGAATATAGATATAGATGAAATGTTTAACATTTAAATTCAACGACAATTTTTTTTTTTTTTTTTTTGAATGATAATGATATTATAATTTATGCGTATTATCGGAAACGAATGAAAAAAAAATGGAAAAGTTTTTTTTCGACGTTTCGTTTTTCGTTTTTCAAATCAAATCAAATGAGTAAAAATGAAAAAATTATTGAATGAAAGATGTCATATGTGTGGATGATGAAAAAATCTAAAAAAAAAACATAACCAGATTAAAGTTGTTGTTGTCAATTAAATTATATAATCAAATTTTCAATCTTTGTTGCTACAATAATAATAATTCCCGAGATACCCGCTCAAAAAACATAACACACACACACACAGACACAACACTAAGGTATGTACCATCTGTGGGTGTATAATAAAATAAAATCAAAAATGAAAGATCGAAAAAAAAACTTTCAATTCGTATACGAGAAATAGATAATAAAATTGATTTGATTTGAAAGTTTCTATGCTCTTTGTGTGCACATTTTGACATCCATTATATATAATAAGAATGCTGGAATCTTTTCTCATTTTTTTTATGGCTTAACTTTTATTGAAAATGATGATGCAATGTTAATAATATCATCATTTGTATACCGAAAAAAACAAAAGCAATGATGACCCAATATAATGTCATCATCATCATCATCATTGACTATTTGAATCTTATTGTAGTTGTTGTTATAGTTACACATTTAGATTTTAGAAGCAGATTCTGTTCTAAAAACATTCGTTGTTGTTGTTGTTTTTATTGTTGATGTCTCAATTATAATTGCAAGAAAAAAATTATGAAAATCTTCATCATTATCATAATGAATCAGAATCATTTCTTCAGGTCCATAGAGACCATTCCATACATTCATTGATTCATTGTCCGAATTGTATTTGATTTGGCAATAATTATAGCTTTGAAATATGACCGAAATTTTTTGACATTATAATATTGAATTACAAATTTCTGATCACATTGATGATTATATAACAAGTTTGAATTATAATAATAATGATGATGATGATTAATTTTAATTGATTGATTGATCGATGAAGAATGTACATTTGCATTTTCTAGCAAACTAGAAAACAATATATAATCCACGTACCAATGAATTACCAACATGATCTTGGACATGTAACAACGACTACAACAACAAGTTGACTTATTTTGAAAGTTTAATTTTTTATTTCGTTTGAAACAAAAAAAAAACAGAATAATTCTTTTGAACTGAAACAAGAATTTCAATTTTTTTTTTTTTTGTTTGTTGTTGTTGCCAAGAAGAAAACTAATCCCAACGAAATTCCATTCTGGAACAAACAAACAAATATATACCTGTGACTAGTATTAACTCTTTTTTTTCAACAAGCAAAAAAAAATGTTGTTGCATAACATTTTTTTGTTGTTGATGTGTCACAATAATAATTATAAAATATTTCGTTGAAATGGTGATTCAAAAAAGTTGAAAAGTGAAATAAACGAATATACTTTACAGTTGACTTGATGTTTTTGTTTTTTCATTAACAACGACTACAATGATAATAACTCTAAATTAAAAAAATAAATAAATTCTTGTTTTATTTTCTACGAATATCCAACATATGTATTAGTGTTTCATTAAACAAAAAACAAAACAACCGTAGGTTTATTTTTTTCAGCTTAGTTTTTGTGTTTTGTTACGAATAATAAATGACTAACTACTAACACAAAAACACAAAATAAGCAAATATTTGGCCTATCTCGATGTTGTTTTTATTATTTTTTTTCTGTTGTTTGTTAATGGGATGATGAGCGATGTCCATTATTTCTCTCTAATTAAGATCATCATTATCACATGTTTGTGGACAACAACAACAACAACAACAACAACAACAACAAAAGATAAATAAATCAGGCAAACAATAACAACAAAATTAACCAAGATAAAAGATTCAAGTTTGTTTTTTTTTCAATACTTACAAATATTGTGTTAAAAATGCTTCAACTGAAAGTGTTAAACGTAGATTGAAATCAACTTGTGGATATTCAGCACGACATCTAATGTATGTACGATTCTGATAAGGCACATAAACAATTTGATTAAACATTGAATGTGGTGTGGCCAGCAAACCAGCTAATAACCAAACAATTGTCATTATAATGCAAAGACAAAATGAACCATGTAATATTAATGGATGATAGAATATTGTATTGGATGAATGGTTACCAATACCACCACCGGTATTACCCATTGATGAACGAAAATGAGTCGATGTCGATGTTGATGATGAGGATGATTTTGATATTGCACTTGTTACAGTCATATAACGATGAACAGCTATGACACCCATCGTAAATGTTGATACATACACACACATAACTTGTATAAATGGTACTAATTTACAAAATAATGATGGAAATGGATAGTTCATGTATATAAAACGTGTAACATTGAATGGTATATTCAATGTTGTTGTCAATAAATCTGCGACGGCTAGCCAAGCAATCAGTATATTTGTCGTGGTTTGTAGTTTCTTTTTGGTTAATATCATTTTCAATACTAATGAATTGCCACATAATGATATTAAAATAATCAAGGAATATGCGATTATTGTTATTAAATGACGATAAAAATCTTCATCTTCAGTTGTAGCTGTAGTGGACGATGATGATGATGATGATGATGTTTGTCCATTTGTTGATGCTGCTGCAGCGGCTGCTGCAATACGACTTGATATTGGTGATGGTGGTTGTTGTTGTAGGATTGGAAATTGAAATATTTCTCCTCCTGTTGTTGTTGTTGTTGTTGTGGATTTTGTTGTCGATAATGTTTGATTATTAATAATTGTTTGATTAATTAAATTATTGGCAATTTTTTCAAAAAATGTCTTTGCCACTTCATTTGCAATCATTTGGGAATCGTTATTGTCTAAGGAAATATTTTCTTTCTGAAATGCTAACCATATGGCACGTGATAATAATAAGGCTGTTGATGATGTGGATGTTGAGGAATTATTTCCATCATCATCATTATTCTGTGTATTCAAAATATTGAATTCATTTCGATCATCGATTATTGATTGTATGGTTGTTGTTGTAAAAAACATTTGATTTGTGTCGATAAATAAATGACTTTTATCATCATCGACAGCACTAGTAGTAGTAATAGCCATGATCAGCTGTTTTTTATCTATTTTAAAATTGAGAAAAAAAGAAAAAAATGAATTGATCATTTTAAATTTGACGAAATTGATGACAATCGATATAACAAAAAAAAAAACTCAAATATAAAACTTTAAAAGCATTGAACAAAAAAAAACATGATGATCATCAAAAAAAAAAATTCAATTTTTTCATTCATCTGTGATGATATCCATCCTATACATAAGCTCTTTCAATTGAATTAAATTGAATTTAAAAACAAACAATGATGTGTTTGGCAAGATCTCCTTCGCTCACTTTTTTTTCATTCTATTTTTTTCCATTTTCAACAATAAATTGTTGTAATGAACTTTCAGTGAATTTATTTTTTTTTTTTTCATTTGAAAAAAAACTTGATAACAATTGAATTCTCTAAAATGGATGATTCATTGTGTGTGTGTGTGTGTGGATCTTGTTTCAACCGACTTTCACTCTTTTTCTCTATATCTCCCAAAAGATTTCATGAAATTTTAGCTCGTTCATTATTGATTGGCCATGTGAAGAAGAAGATGAACGAACAAACGAACCAAACACACACACAGACACAACTAGATAGGAATTTTGTGCTACCGAAAAAAAACGCAACAATTCTTTTTAGTTTTCTGAATATTCTTGTTCTTTCTCACTGTTTTCAGTTTATTGAATTTTGTTTAATCTATCATTATTATTAATCTCCATTAGGATTTGTGTTTGTTTAAACGAATGAATGCTTTAAAATTAATTCCTTTTCACATAATAACATAATATATTGAATCTAAATCTCAATGAAATTGTTTTTGTGATTGGTGGATTTTTTTTCTGGCTCCATTTCTCTCGCTCCCTGAAATTTCTTTTTCAATTAATCAATTTAGCAGCCAAAAAAAACCGTTTAGGTTGATTGAATTTTGTTGAAAATTCATCGCTTTTGCTCGTTTTGTGTTTCGAAATAAAAATTTTGGATTATCATTCACAAACACAATCACAGGCAAAATGAAAAACCAGTAGAGCAATCATCATCCATTACTTATTGAACTGATTTTTTTCCTCTTTCTTCAAACAATATTTCGTGTGTGTGCGTTTATTGTCATTGCAATTTGTCTTTACATAATTTATTTGTTTGTTTTTATTCATCAAGGTCAAAATTCTCAATTTTTTGGTTGTTTTTGGCTTGTTGTTGTTCTTTTTTCAAATAATAAAAATTATTAACAATTTTTTCCACTTTTTTTCACTTTACAAAATTGATTCAAACACATCACTCATCGGAGAAAAAACTTTTTCTTTCCTCAGATGTTTGACAAATATTAAAACCTATCGATATCAATAAATTGCTGTTGTTGTTGTTGTTGTTCATTGAATTCAAAAGTGATTGAAAAGGAGAAAATCTAATTATAATTTGGTGCAACAATCAATCTTCTTTTTCTTGTTATTGAAAGAAAAGTTTCAACATTTTCTCAACTTACTTGAAACTGAAAATAACAATGACAACAACAACAACAACAACAATAGCAAACAACAGCGACAGATAACAACTCACATGGTAGAAAAAAAACTCATTTTGTCAATTGAAAATCGAAAATTGAATTGAATTTGAAATTTGAAAAAAAATAAAAACAAAACAAAAAAAGAAATTTGAACCATTACCTGCAATAGCAGAAAAACAATGAAAGATTTTTTTTTTTTTTTTGTTTTTGTTCAAGTTTAAGTTTTTCATTGATATTGGTATAGACAAAAATGATCACGATGAATTTCAACACGCACGTATTTCAATTTAGATTTCGGAAATTTCAAAAATACTCTGGTTTCACTAGACAAAACACGATTTTTTCGTTCTTTTTAAAAAAAACGGAAACTTTTCATTCTGTTTACTGGTCAATTCGATTTTTTTACTTTCATTCTTCCATTTTCTATGACCTCTAAATTTTCTAGTTTTTTCGATCGATTCGTTTTAGTTTAGATAGTAGTAACATTCATCAATCATCAAAGTGGTGGCTGAAACAAAAAGAAAACTGAAAAACATTTTCGACTGTGAAACCAACTTTTTTTTCTGCAACCCACTATTGTCGAAAACAACAACAGCAACAACAGCAAAAAAATTACCGGATACCATTGGAATTAACCGGAGGGACAATTTCGATTCATTCATTTATTCATATCATTAGTGTTCACGTCAACGAATATTTGTTTCGTAGAATAATAATCATTATTTTTATCCATCCATTTATGATGGATGAAAATCCGGATGTGATTTTTGTTTTGTGTTTGTGTGTGTGTGTGTGTTGGTGACATTTTTCTTCCGTTTCTTTTTTCATGAACAGAATTTCTCTATTATTCATTCCATTATTTTTTCTCACGCTGTTTATGTGCATTTGCATGATTTAATGATTCTGTTTTATTATTTCACAAGAAAGTTCAAGATTCACAATTTCTAGTATGGTATTTTGTGCATATGTGTGTTGAAAACTACAATTGGAAAACAGAGAACGAAAAAAATCAAGAATCGGTTGAATAATTCAGCCATGTCAAACACACACACACATGCACACTTGTTTTAACCTTTTTTCGTACATTTTTGATGTTGTCGTTGTTTTTCGTTTATATTTTCATAAAACACGTGTTTATGATTTCGTATGTGAAATGTAATCTGAATGTAATTTGTGTTATTTAAACCAATTCATTACAGAAAAACAAAATTCCGATTAAATTGGAATTCCAATTTCGAGTGATTAGTGTCTTGATTTGTTCCGATAAAAATAAATCAAATCAACGAAAACAAAAAGTTAAAGAATCTTTATTTTTCTCATTCAGACCTGGATTACTAAAATAGATCGATAATAATTGTGTTTGTTTGTTCGTTTGATTACGACAATGGCAATCATTATGATCATCATCAATTGTTATTGTGGTCGCTGATGTGATATCATCGATATCGTCAAAAACATGAAGAAAAACATGTTAAGTGATGTTTAATTTGACTTTTCTTTTTTTTTTTTTTTTGTTGCGTAGAAAACGAAAGAATTATGAAAGAGAGGTGAAAAGAAAAAACGAATTTCATCATATATTATTGTCTGATTGTATAGAATATTGTATGAGAAGGAATGAGAGAAAAGAAAATGAAAAGAAATTAACACGAAAAGTCCATTTCGAAATCTTTCGTCCCTTTTGGTAAAAATGCAAAGAGAATGTCATTATCATTATATTACAACACAATGTGAAAATATTTAGGGTACTGAATAATAAAAAACATACATTGACCAAACACTAAATAAATGAATGTATCTAATGTTTCGTGTATTGTGTATCAATCATCCAAATGATGATGTATATGATGATGTTTTTGTTGTTGTTGTTGTTGTTGTTGTTGACAATCATACTTTTTTTTCGTTGTCGTTTATTTCCATTTGGTTTTTTTTTTTTTTTGATTTTCTTGGATTTTTTCTGTTTTTTCTCTTTTTTGCATTGATGATATTTGATTGCCTATAATGACTATGATGATGGTGATGATGATTATCAAAAACATTTTGGATATGGAATTCATCTATTTAGGTTTCAAAAAACGTTTCTTATATACAGTAAAGTCATTACTATAATGGGTAAGATATATAAATTAATAATAATTTGCAATATTTTTTTTCTCTTGTACAAATATACCAAATATTTGATTATGATCATGATCATGATCATGATTGTGATGATGATGATGATGACGGAAATGAAATAAAATGATGTAATGGAATGCAATGCAATGTTTCTTTTCGCTTTGATGATGATGGTTGATTCTTGCATATAATTCTATATTTGTCTATTTTACTTTTGCTATTTTTTCTTGTTGTTGTTGTTACTTATTTGAAAGTTAGGAAAAAAAACTTTTTTAATTTGTCACTTTTGAATCTTATTCTACCAACTTCCTACACACACACACTGACAGAATTGTAATTTGTTGTTGTTCACTCGTGCTTGAATCATTCCTGGTCTTATCAATTAAGATTATGTATGGAAATTTTGAATGAAATGAATATAGTAGAGAATCATGCATAAGATTCAGGAGTTGTTTGTTAAAGCTAGCTACAGCTTTCTTGTGTAACATTTTTTTTCATTTTATTCACACAATTATCATTGTGTCATCATTATTGTGTGGTCGTTTCGTTTTTTTTTCTGCCACATTAATAATTGAATATATGTGAGTGTATAACATTTGATTGTTGAGTAGCATCATCTGTGATGTTTACACGTTCATTACACCTTGATCAATAAATTTTCTTGGTTTTAATGTGTTGTTGTCTCTCTAAATATCTAATCCAGGATTTTTTTTTTCATTTTACAAAATCGTCATTATTATTAGATATTTGATTCAATTTATCTATCGTTAATGTGTAATATAACAATATTAAGTAACAACGACGTTGATGTCGTTAAAAGATGTCGTTTTTTGTTTTCATTTTGATTTTTTTTTTATATACTAGAAAAATTAATGGACAACCAATAAACATTTCATTAGCAATACACATTTTTGAAAATCGAGAGAAAAAATTTCTCATTTTGTTTGTTTCGTTTTGTTTTTATAAATCCATCATCATCATCATCATCATCATCATAAGAGCTTCCGATGGATTTAGTAAATGTTTCTTTCAAATAA